TATATATATATATATATATATATATATATATATATATATATATATATATATATATATATATATATATATATATATATATATATATATATATAGTGGAACCCCGTCGTTAATACGCGGTCAAGAACAGGTCGAAAAAATTGGCCGTATATTAACGGGGTATCTTTATGAGAGTGTACATTTTCTGGGCATTTTTTGGGGACAAAAATAAGTGGCCGTAATAAAGAGGTAGCCGTATTAATGTATATAAAAAAATGTTTTAAGATTTGTAATCCAGCCATATTGTGCATGCGTGTTTGTTAAAAGTCTCCGGATTAAAAATGACTTTAATTAAGTGTTCAACTCGGTTCTTTGAGTCTTCATCCGATGTTTATGAAATGTTAGTAAAAGTCATTTTTAATCCGGAGAACTTTAACAACTCAATCATTTATTTTTGTTTCCTTTGTTTTAGATGGAACTATTTAAAAATTAAGATCAAAACAGCTGAATTTGTAATTTATGCATTGAAAATTACACATTTCAAAAGAAGGACCTGTCACACTCATTTATTTTTCTCGCCATAAAACCACATACAACGCATCATGGCATATCCTTTTTTTGTCTTCGTATTTGCTTTTTTATGGCAAAGCCAATATATTTTTTCAAACACAATTCAAGTTGTTATCGTCCGACAAGAAGTACTCGAGAACAGCAGTTTGTCCGGATATGTTCCCTTGGAAAACATCACCGACGGCGTTAGTGCTAATTTCACTGTCTTAAGAAGTGGAGGGGAATCATATAAGGGAATTTTGGATAAGTTCTGCAGGGTTGTAAAGAATACTGGAGTTTCTGTGATTATCTCTGAAGATATTTCTTTACATCCTAAACTTCTTGATGTCTACGCAAGTTATGTGGGTATCCCTGTCATAAAATTATTTCACAGCGCTTATGAACGGCAAGTTGTCAAGCAGGTGCGTTAATATGCGTTTGATAACTTTCTGTGAGAAAGGTAATAGCGGGAGGTATACTATAAACATAATTATATGGCACAAGAAAAATTCGAATTTCTTTCTAGGCGTTTTTTAGTACAACAGTTTCGGAACAAATGTCAAACAATGCTGCTGTGCTGATCAGTTATATTTGTTTCATTTTATTAAATTTAAAGCTCTGTTGTGGAAAGATTTTGAAATTTCAGATGATTTTTCGAATATTTCTTTCTTTGCGCTGCGGAATTACGCAAAAATGAAATTCCCTACCATGCAGGAAGCTGAAATATTTCACAACATATTTAAAAACATATACTTTCATGCATCAGTATAGTAATATTCAGGCCGATCGTGCCCCTTTTGGCGGTGGAGGAAAGGTAGGCTATAATACGATGGGGGAAGGCTGGTATGAGTGTCTGCGAGTATGCAAAATGATGTCATGCTTGGTCGCTAAATACTATTACGTTGCTAAAATTATACCATTAATATTATGAATTGACGGCAAAAAGGTCGCTTATACGTTGCTAAGCAAACAATGTTATTGTTTTAATGATATCTATTATATTATTTTTTCAATAATATATAGCTATTGCATGGGCGAACCGATTAACAAGCAAAGAAAATTGCTGAAGTGTACATTTTTACAACAAAAGGGTGAGCAATCGATAAATGAGGGAGCGTAAAATTTTCGATACAACTCCTCAGTCATGATTCGCGCGTGTAAAGTAAATTATAACAGTCTTAGCCTTTGAGAAGTAGTATACAGAATAATATATTGCAAGCACATTTTCGAAACGAAAATAGGATATTCTGAAGATCATAGGAATAGCATATGCAAGCATTGCTAAAATTTTATCAACACGACAAAAATATGTTTACTTTTCCGACCAAAATAAGTGTGGAGGTAAAACATCTTTACAAATAGTATTCTTCCAGATGGCCTTCATTAGTTAAGTTAAAATATGTGCATATACAATATATATATAAGGAAAAGATATGTTTAAATATGCTGGAAGTGCGACCATGCAGGATTGAACATAATGATTTTTGAGACGTTCTGGACGTTATGATATGATATTATATGAATTTAAAATTAAGTATTATAGGTAATTAGGTACAGTTCAAAAGATATGGATTTAAAATTAACTATTATAGGTAATTATTTACAGTTCCAGGTAAATAAAGCTCTTTTTTTACATAGAATGATCAAGAGCAAAGCGCTGTTGCTACAACATCAATATACAATGTATTAATAATTAAAATACATTATATTAACTGCAAATAGTAAATAGTAAAGTAACAGTCCGGTCTGCGTACGCGCACATAGTCATAGGAGTCTCCTGCCGCGATATCAACACTTTAATTAAGTTATTATTTCATTTTATGTTCTTGCAAAGCCTGATTGTTGTATCTTGATCATTTATTATACTGTAGAAGCATGGAAATGTAAATAGTTGTCAAATAAAGTTCAATATTTTGAATACTGAAATGTAAACAAAGGCTTAAGTTTGTTTACATACGGACTGTACCCTACCTTTAAAACTAAATATTAAAAGCTAATTTAAAATGATGAGTTTTAAGAGCAGTTTCAAAAACATGCACTGGTTGATGAAATGTCACGAATATCCTATAATTCGGGAGCTCAGTCAAACGTTTTGGAGCGGCCACACTGAAAGAACGATCGCCAAATGATCGTAAAAATTCCCCCCTAGCCCTAGGAAACGTTTGGCAAAAAATATACAAAACAGACTTGCCTTAATATATTTCATGATTTCTCATCTTATAGTAAAATTGCTGTCATATTATACACTACACAGGTCGCCATGTTCAAGGCATCAACTATTTCGCTGACCTCAGAATGACATTTCGTCAAAACTTTTTTCTTCAAGATTGGTTTAGAAACAAATTGGGACTATAGGGTTAGGTTAGAGTTAGGGTAAGGATTAGGGTTAAGTTTAGAGTTGGTGTTTGGAGTAGAGTTAGTGTTAGTAAAACCGTTGCTTTGTTACGTTTTGTCACTCTGAGGCCAGCAAAATAATCTCTTCCCATGTTCAACAACTATCTCTAATAATCATCACGTGTTTATCATAAATTAACATAATTATGACATCTCCCTTTCTTACTAAAGCTACATATTGTTCAACAGCTAATTAGCTTCAATTGTTCGGTAATAAGGTCACACTTCATAACACCGAACATCTTGTAAGAACTGCAACGCTCCAAGTAACACAACAACAATATTAATGTTTATAAATGTAAACAGCTTATGATAGTCATTCCATAACATAGTTATTCCTGAGTCGCTCAGGCAGTCTAATTGCGCGGTTGCTGGTGCGCCTTACAGGTTGTGGGTCAACAACGTTATTTGGTCTAGGCTCAGGCATAACAATTTCTTCATCGTAGTCTGGTCCTAAATTGTTAGGTGGAGGCTCACTAGTGGGTAATAAATGTCTGCGATTACGACGATACACTCCACCTTGTGGTGTGGTTACTATGAAGGATCTAGGTGCTTTATGCGTACCTGTTATAACTTCTGGCTCCCACACCTTTCCTCTTCGAATTCGGGCAGACTGGTACATCTTTACAGGTCGCAATGGCTTTGCATTTCTGTCGAAGTACTCTTTTTGCTTCTCGGCACGTCGCTCAAGTTTTTCACGAACATTTTCTTGAACTGAGCTGGCGATTCTTGCATTCCTGTGATTGGAGTATTCCTGTACTCCAGAAGGGCGATGTAGGGAACGTTTCCTTCATCATCAGCTTTACGCAGGAGATTCTTGATGGTTTGAATTGTACGCTCACTCATGCCATTTGACTGGGGGTAATGAGGACTGGACGTTGAAATTTTGAATCCCCATTCTTGTGCAAATTGTAAACATTCCTTACTTGAAAAGGGCATATTATCTGCGACAACTTCATCCTGGATGCCGTATCGGGCAAATACTGATTTCATACTGGTAATGACAGCTTGACTTGATTTGTCTTTAAGGAAAGAAATTTCTGGAAATTTCGAGTAATAGTCTACAATTACCAAGTAGGACTTGGACTTATATTCAAAAATGTCTGTTCCCAATTTTTGCCATGCTCTGGCAGGCACTGTGTGTGGCTTTAGTGGCTCTTTCTGATTGCTTCTTTGGTGCTTCAGGAAAGTTGAACATTTCGCTACTAATCTTTCAATGTCCGCTGACATTCCGGGCCAATAGACTACTGCTTTAGCCCTCGATTTACATTTTTCCATACCCATATGGCTCTCATGAATTCGACGAAGAATGTTTGGTCTCAGCTTCTCTGGAATAATTAACTTCTGCCCGAAAAACAACAACCCATTGGCTTCATAGATTTCGTCTTGAAATTTCCAGTAGTGACCAACAGCCGATGGACTATTCACTCGAATACTAGGCCATCCGTCTTTGATGAATTGGATTAACTGCTGCAGACTTCATCTTCTACTGTTGCTGATTTCAATTCTTCAAGTTTCTCAACTGTCATTGGGAGGTTTTCAACGAGGCTGTGGATCATCTTCGTTACATCATCATTTATTTCATTAGGAACAGGGCTATCAGGAAGAAATGCTCGTGAACGTGCATCTGCAACATACATATATTTGCCTGGAAGGTAGTTGATGGTGACATCATACTTTTGTAGTCGGAGCAACAATCGCTGGAGCCTGGGAGAGGCTTGTACCAAAGGTTTTCTGGAAATGGAAACAAGAGGCTTGTGATCAGAATCTATATCAATTGGTTTACCATAAACATAGCAGTGAAATTTTTCATATCCGAAGACAACTGTGGTTAACTCCTTTTCAATTTGCGCACAGTTCTCCTCAGCAGAGCTCAGTGACCGGGATGCTTATGCAACGGGATATCCGTCTTGTAGAAGGCAAGCTCCAAGGCCACTTTTCGAAGCATCAACTTGCAACTTGACTGGCTTTGCTGAGTCAAAAAATTTCAGGACATGCTGACTTGAGAGGATCTGTTTCAGTTGCTCTACTGCACTAGTGTGTTCATGGGACCAGTCCCAAACTGAATCTTTCTTCAACAACTGAATAAACTTCGAGAAAAAATTGACTTCAATAAACTTCGAGAAAAAATTGACCATTCCAAGGAACCTTCGCAATTCTTCCTTTGACTTAGGTAAGGGCATGTCCAGGATTGCGCGAACTCTCTCGCTATCTGGCTTCAAACGCAATTCAAATACAATGTTACCCATGTACTTTACTTCTTTGACTTTGTACTGAAGCTTTTCTGGATTGAATTTAAGGTAATTCCGTAGTTTTGCATTGCGCACTTTTACTGCCCACAATTTCATCCATTATACGTACCGTTTAAAAAAAAATCATTTTATAACAATTTTATGTTACTTCAAAACATCTTGGTTACATTCGTGCAAAGAATTACGTTAAAATCAATGTTTTCAAAAAAGGCATACAAAAGTGTAGCTAGGGTTCCTGTGTCCGTAGTATATTTATTTACTTGTATTTCACAATTCCCTAAAAAGATCGGTGACCCCCGTTTTTTAACTGATAATTTATTTCTTTAATTCATTTTACATTTCATATCCGAAATTAAAAGAAAAATCATTTCTGGATCTTGAAAAAAATCATTTATCAATGCATGTTCTCAAAGAAAGATATGTAAAGAAATGTGCAAGACATTTGTGGATCAGAATTGTACACGTTAGTAGTTTCATTTTGCTTAAAACACAATATTTTTTCAAAAATAATTACAAGATAGGTTTACTAAAGCAAATTCAGCACATTCTCATTTCGGGAACAATTACTGCGGAATTACCCTAAGAAACCTCGAGCGGTTCAAAATTTCGCCTCTATAGTATCATAACTAACACAAGAAAATATGATGATATCACACCTGCACGCCGGGAAATTAGTTGGTTTCCAATCAGAGAACACCTTCAATATAGAGATTCACTGATGATTTGTAAATAAACTGCATAATGTATGCATGAACTAGCGCCATCTTATCTGAGTGACCTATTCCTTAAACGCAACGAGATTCACGATTTAAACACAAAGAATAAGGAAGATCTAAATATTCCACCATACAAACAGGGGCGTAAGTTTGGGCCAGCCTGCCCCTGGTCCTAACGGAATTGGGTGCCCCAAGGCAAGGGTATCCTACATCCTTTTGAAGTACCATGAAGCTCTTACAATATGAACATTTTGCTGGTCGGTTAGAAGCGAATTTTAATCAGGTATCTTGAACTGGAAATATAAATATATAGCAAAATATACAACAAAAACCCCACAACTATGCAGAAATAACACCATGCAGAAATTGTTTTTGACATAAACAGTGAAATGTTTGCCACTGTACTTATGCACGTACAACCTTATATAGATGAACAATGCCTCCGGACAACTCAGTTCAGGGTGCCCCCTTGGAAGCCTGGGTGCCCCCGGCTCTTACCGGGTAGAGCTCATAGGAGTTACGCCACTGCATACAAAACAACGGCAAAGCAAAAGAGTTTCCATTGCAGAGCTGTAAAGATTCGTAATAGTATAGACATGCAACGACGTGAAGAAATTACCCTTAAAAACACTAGTAGCTCCTGTCCATTAACTGTTTGAAAGGCTGGTGGCGGCTTTTGTTTGTTGTAGGGGAGTGCTAAGCTGAAAACAATAACTGATTTCAACGGCAAAACAATAGATTAATATTCCCCTCTGACATTCCCCCCTAATATTCCCCTTCTAGATCTAATATTCACCTCTAAAATACTCCGCACCACTCTCAATCTTGCTTCTCCTTGTAAATTATACACAAAAATAGAAACATCAAGTACACGAACAATAGTTACCTTAATTTATTTTAAATAGTATACACCGCAATTACTCAAATTAAAAGTATTAGACTATCGTTTGTTCTAAGTTTCTTATACTAGCTGTCCCATCAAAAACTGTCCATAATTCCTTGCAATAGGCAATTCCAGCTTTTAGTTTATGCGTGCAGGGGACGATGGGAAGTAAGGTCTCACATTGCTGATTATGCCGTGAAAAAATAGAAATGGTGGCCGTGAAAACACGGAGTGATAGCTTATACTTGAAAATATTGAAATATTTCGGTTGTTTCGGTAGTTTTTATTGAAAATTTTCAGCATGATTAGCACTATGATACCTTACTTCCCATCATCCCCTGCAGGCATAGACTAAAAGCTGGAATTGGCTATACGTTGGATACCGGTTTTTAATCTCTCGCGCTTTCTCTGGTAGGTATGTAGCGAACATAAAAGTTCTTATGACCTGTGCGTTCCATAATTAACGTTTAACTTACATCTTTAGGGAATTTTAAACATATTTCTTAAAATGCTTGTGATGTTACTCTGAGTGTATATCCACACCGGGCAGGATTGAAAAATATGCCTGGCTACGGTGGGAATCGAACCTACGACCTTTGGAATACTAGCCCAATGCTCTGCCAACTGAGCTACGTGGTCACTGTCAGGTCGGTTCGAGTATGTGATATTTCGGAACCGGCTGAGTCTAGTTCCTTCGATATCAGTGTAATCTAATAATCAAGATACTTGTTGTATTGGTGTGGTGTACTCAGGTGAATAAGATGCTTGTGATGTTACTCTGAGTGTATATCCACACCGCGGGCAGGCTTGAAATAATCTCGCAACTAGACTTTCCCACAAGTCGATCTCGAATAGCGAGCGGTGAGCGGCGAAGAAACAAAACTGGAAAGGACTTTGGGAAAGTCTATCTCGCAACATGCACCTTTCTGATTTTCTTCTTCATTCGCATCCTGTTAAATAACGTTTGGCTTCACGCTATATCCGTAAATAACCTTAAGTTTTGAGAAAAATTCAAGAATTTTACTATAAAAAGCCAAAGCTTGTGTTTATTTTAACCAGCATGAATATGTTTACGTTCTTTTAAAACTGCTTTTTTACGGCATTGAGGATTCAACGACAAAAATAATAAATTTGGAGATGTATTTCATTAAAATGCCAAATATTAGGCGACCAAAATGACATCAGTAGTAATATAGGTACCGTTCGACTCGGATTTTTGAGGGTGCGTAAGGGTGCTGAGGGTGCGCTAATTAATATTCATACAAATGAGGGTGCGTAAGGGTGCTGAGGGTGCGCTAATTAATACTCGCACAAGTGAGGGTGCGTAGTGACGTCACTCATTAACATACGTCATAATTATATGCAATGACGTCACGCGGGCGAGCTTAAACACGATCGGGCGAAACTTGCTGACTACGCATTTTTTAGCGTCTCCCACGTGTATGGTACAATAGAGGGATTAATGTTGGCTTACTATGATTGGTTGTTTGATTTAACGAGCGTCTGTATAAAATCGACAAGCGTCTTGTAACAAGCATAGTTTTGTATTTGTTCCACATCGGTCATGGAGTGTCTACACGGAAAAGCTGCTGCCTATACAACTACAAACAATGGTACATTTTGGTTTTGTGGGGAAAAACAAAGCTTGAGTTCTTTTGCCCAGACGAAAATTGTTATATGTATACGAGAGCTGTAGCTGCGTTTCGTGCAAGTGGTTCTATACATCCCGTATGTCCTACACATCAGAAATTTGCCAAGTTATGTGTGGTCAAAGACACAATGAAAGATAATTACGGACGACCCTTCTTCGTATGTTCTGAGCGAAAGAATCCCTGCAAGTTCTGGCAATGGGGAGACGTATTCGCAGGTCCAAGACCGTTATGTCAACATGGAATGGTGTGCTGTGAACGAAAAGTCAAGAAAGATGGTCCGAATCAAAACCGTCTGTTTTACTGCTGTCCGAAGGACGACTCTTGTGGTTTCTTCGAATGGAAGCAACAAGGCCCTCGTGTTACCAACACTGGCATCGTGCTCTTCAGTAATCCACTACAATACCAGTACATGATTGAAGAAACAGGAGAGACATTTAATAGTTCTAAATCTAACACTAGGGAGGCCTATGATGAATTTCGTAGTTATCCGTAATTATCTTTCATTGTGTCTTTGGCACACGGGATGTATAGGACACACGGGATGTATAGAACCACTTGCACGAAACGCAGCTACAGCTCTCGTATACATATAACAATTTTCGTCTGGGCAAAAGAACTCACATCTTGGTTTTTCCCCACAAAACCAAAATGTACCATTGTTTGTAGTTGTAGAGGCAGCAGCTTTTCCATGTAGACACTCCATGACTGATGTAGAACTAATGCAGAACTATGCAAGACGCTTGTCGATTTTATACAGATGCTCGTATTATACAACCAATCATAGTAAGCCAACATTAATCCCTCTATTGTACCATACACGTGGGGGACGCTAAAAAATGCGTAGTCAGCAAGTTTCGCCCGATCGTGTTTAAGCTCGCCCGCGTGACGTCATTGCATATAATTATGACGTATGTTAATGATTGACGTCACTACGCACCCTCACTTGTGCGAGTATTAATTAGCGCACCCTCAGCACTCTTACGCACCCTCATTTGTATGAATATTAATTAGCGCACCCTCAGCACCCTTAGGTACCCTCAAAAATCCGGGTCGAACGGTACCTATATTACTACATCTTATAGCTCAACAAAGACATAAATACAAAGACAGCGATGCACAGGAACAATTGTATAAAATATAAACTCGATATAAACTGGAACTGTGCTAGCGTATCAGTAGATATAGTAACAATAACACCAGAAAGCTGCGGATTGAGAGGGATTCAACAACCTGAAAAATACAAGTAAAACTTCGACGTTTCGAGCGAAGGTCCTTTATCGGGAAAGAGCATTAATATGCTGAACGTATCTGCATGCTAAGTGCTAACTATGCTTTTATAAGAACAGAATATTAAAGACCAGACACAGTATACTAAAATGCGGTGTTTTGCAAATAAAACTTTCCGGCGTTTCGCCTACAAGCTGGTGTACTTTTATATAAAGGTCCATGCACACCGGACGCGATTCGACAACGCGACGCGATTTCTCGATTTTCACTGACCGATAATTTTGATCCTAGTTTAAATTTTCCAAATATTTAGAAGCGCTATTTCGTAGCACACATTCCTCCTGTGGCTGTCGGCCGGCATGCAGCACGTTAATTGTTCCGTTCGCTAGGGTTAAAACTCACGCTTTAATTAAAAACTTCAAAATAAACTATTGTCGGATCAAAGTATGATCAAAACGAAGAGAAAAGTGAGACGAATCCATTGAAAGAGAAAACCAACGATACGAAAGTTATCAAGGATCAAACGTACTGCATTTTTAACTGATTAGTTAAATAATAGTTTTGAGCGATTTGTCAACAATACAACTTCGCTTGACTTTCAAAGACCATAAATCGCTGGAATTAATGCTGTTGTTTAGTAATTAATTTGACATTCACAAGTACAATTCCGTACGCTAATTCGAATGATGGTATTTTTGTCCTTGTTGGGTGCATAAAACCAGAGTGGTTAGTCGGTCGTGAAAGTCCGAAATTAATTAATTTACCCGCAGAAAAGGAAATTCAAAGAACGTGCAAGGAATTTTTCTAGGCACAAACTCCTCCACCAAAAAACCGCGTACGCAACTCAGGCGACAATTAACTCTTCAATTGTGACTATGATTGTAGTATCACCAAACATGTATAGCCTAAGCGAGTCAACGCTCTTTTGAGCGTCTTGTTTTGTTATTTTCCATTCAATCCAAAAAAGATAATGTAAGTGATAGTTTTCAGGTGATTTTAAATAGCCAATCTCTAAAGCGCGAGTACAAAACAAAACACTTAGGCGGTAGTCATAGATTGCCACTTAAATTGGAGGGATCATGTCTCCCATATCTCAAAGAAAATTAAACGTAATATATATTACGATTTCAAAAGTTCGTAACTTTGTTAATCTGTAAATTCTTAAAAGCCTTTGTTATGCTTTGGTGTATCCATATTTAACTTATTGTTTAATCACTTGGAGTAATACCTATACCATACTACATTAAATCCACTTTTTATTTTGCAAAAAAAGATCGTTCGGTTAATCACATTTTCATATTATAACAATCATACTAATTCCTTATTTCTAAAACTGAAGATTATTAAGATTTATGACCTTAATTGTTCACTGGAGGGATCATGTCTCCCATATCTCAAAGAAAATTAAACGTAATATATATTACGATTTCAAAAGTTCGTAACTTTGTTAATCTGTAAATTCTTAAAAGCCTTTGTTATGCTTTGGTGTATCCATATTTAACTTATTGTTTAATCACTTGGAGTAATACCTATACCATACTACATTAAATCCACTTTTTATTTTGCAAAAAAAGATCGTTCGGTTAATCACATTTTCATATTATAACAATCATACTAATTCCTTATTTCTAAAACTGAAGATTATTAAGATTTATGACCTTAATTGTTCACTGGAGGGATCATGTCTCCCATATCTCAAAGAAAATTAAACGTAATATATATTACGATTTCAAAAGTTCGTAACTTTGTTAATCTGTAAATTCTTAAAAGCCTTTGTTATGCTTTGGTGTATCCATATTTAACTTATTGTTTAATCACTTGGAGTAATACCTATACCATACTACATTAAATCCACTTTTTATTTTGCAAAAAAAGATCGTTCGGTTAATCACATTTTCATATTATAACAATCATACTAATTCCTTATTTCTAAAACTGAAGATTATTAAGATTTATGACCTTAATTGTTCACTGGAGGGATCATGTCTCCCATATCTCAAAGAAAATTAAACGTAATATATATTACGATTTCAAAAGTTCGTAACTTTGTTAATCTGTAAATTCTTAAAAGCCTTTGTTATGCTTTGGTGTATCCATATTTAACTTATTGTTTAATCACTTGGAGTAATACCTATACCATACTACATTAAATCCACTTTTTATTTTGCAAAAAAAGATCGTTTGGTTAATCACATTTTCATATTATAACAATCATACTAATTCCTTATTTCTAAAACTGAAGATTATTAAGATTTATGACCTTAATTGTTCACTTAGTCACTGCTATCATGCACAGAGTAGATACATATACAGAGTTATAACTAGTCATAGTGTACACACTTTTTTGTGCACATGCTCGGCAAGTTACTAGATGCATGCATCCCATTGAATGGCGACTCGCTTTAACTGCTCGCGGAACTTGCCGAGCACGCGCAGTTGATCATTTTTGCTCGGTCGCCTGAAAAAGTGGGTACATGAAAACGTAAGTTTCCGCAGTGTTTACAACGGCCAGTTCCAGCTCTGTATGTATCTACTCAGTGCTGCTATGTTTATGTACGACTTCCATTATGGAATCTTGCCACCATCATTTGATATCTTTTTTCTAGACATAAAACATATAGCCATGATACAAGTCTTGCTTCTGTGTCATATTCAATTCCAAAAATTAGGACCAATTATGGGAAATTTAATATAAGGTTTATGGGAAATTTAATATAAGGTATAATATACCTAACATTCTAATATTATCGGAGAAAAGACTTAATTGGAATTCGCTCAGTGAATCCGCTAATTCAACAGTACAGTAATCTTAGTTGAGATGTTAATTTAAGATAATTCTATTGTCTAGATTAGCCTAATTATGCACTGTTAATTTCAGGGAGTTAACTTAACTCCGGTGGAGTTATACTGTACCTCAATTAACTCCAAATGTGGAGTAAAATTAGGTTCAGAATAATACCACAGGAGTTAAATTAACTCCCTGAAATTTACAGTGTGGTTATTACAGTTAGCTCTTCACCCATTCATATGTTTCTTTATTATTTATTAAATGTATTGTATATACTTTGGGTGAAAAATTAATAAATGTTTTCGACATTTTACAGGAACAAAGCACTGCTGCTCTCCACATGGACCCAGATCCAAGTTCAAAACTTGTCGTCATTAATGAAATTTTGAAAACATACAAGAGGAACGACCGAGTGGTTGTAGTTTCTCATGAAAAACAATCAAATTGGGCGCCCAAGCTTCTTGGATTGTTACGTTCAACAAGCAGTTCATTCAACGATGTGCTTTTAAATATCACTATCACGGAAAACGAAGCAAACTATTATAAGATTTTAAGCACAATGCTAGCTTTAAATATAAGAGCCGTAGTTCTCTCATTGGAACAGAATTTGGCCTTAGATTTCGTAAATGCAGCTGAAGAATTTGGGTTCGTAGACATTGATTGTATATGGATTTTAGAACATCCTCTTGATGAAAACAGGCGGATACCACTCTTGGGAAAAATTCTTGGAATACGATTATCTCAAGATCACTTTAACGACAATAGATCACATGCATGGCGAAATGCATTGTTCAAAGATTCTACCAAAATTCTGGAAAAGACGTTTCAAAATATAAGCAATACAGATTTTGAGATTTCGTCGTTGCCAAAAGATTGCAGATCTTCAGACCGTTGGCTGTTGGGAAGGTCGCTCTATAGGTAATTAAGGAATTTGTACTTCATTTGGAATGTGTCTCAATTGAAAGCCTATTTTGAACATTCCAGTTCTTCAGGGACGCCGGAGAGGCGGGAGCGGGTGGGCAAGCTTCCCCCTTGCCCTTTACTAAGGGGGGCAAGGGGGGTAAAGGTGTCCTTTCAGTATAAATATTATTGGCGTAAAAGTTGGGTTTGCGATTAGCTCAAGAGATAAAGAATGCGGTAGTGAGGCCGCAAGTCTGGAGTCCGAGTACGCTTCCGGTCATTATTTCTTTACTTTCAATAATTGTATTTTCTTCTCAAATTTAATATTTTTGGGGTAAGCGTTATTGTTAGGTAAACATACATCAGTTTGATCTAGACAAAGCGATCAATGACAAGGGTTTGGAGTTACTATAAGAAGAGAAACGCTATGTTACGCACATGATATTCTGGAAGAACCAAAGCAAATGCTAGTTTTGAAAGCTCGAAGGGATTTATTGGACAATATACGGAAAAAAAGATTTCTACTCTATCCTCGCAGGCGAATCCTCAGACGTATCTAAGAAAGAGAAACTATCGTTTTTCGTCAAGACATGCACATATGACTACGAAGTTTCGGTCGACTTTGTGGGAATTTTCGAATGCACTGAAGGTCTATCAACTGACTCCCTTCTGAAATATACGAAAGATATTCTCCTCAGATCAATCAGCTGGATGGCACCAAAATAGCAGCGATGGGCTTTGACGGGGATTTGGAAATAATCGAAATCCCATAAAAAGGGCGTGGCTGCGAATTTTCTACCGACGGCCCTTCATGCTCGCATTGCCCCTCCTGCCCTTTTATCGCTCCGGCGTCCCTGCAGTTCTTTTCCTTGTACAGTAGATTGATCTATAGTAATTCAATCTTTAGCTCCCTATCATCGAGCATTGATAATTTATTACTGAAGCCTTTAACTGAATTGACCCTTGACCAATTGAGCGTCTTTAAAGTCATGATGTTGATTATTGTCACCAACAAACTCTTATCGTTATTGATTGTTCACGTCATATATAGCTTTAGCTTGGAATATTGTGAACATTTCAAACTTTCCCCTGTTAACTCATATCGCGTTTCAGAGTTATTTTTAATAAAATGTGTTTGGCAAAAATTGCCATTTTTTCATCGCAAAATTATATAATGTTCTGAGAATTTTTAGTCTTCATGAAATCAGCAGATCATTAACTATCAATATCATTTGAAATGTTTCCCAACAGTCGCTAATCCTCGAGGTTAAAAATTGTCTGTTCACCCAATATAGACGCCCCACATATAGCTGATCTTCAAACACTATTTAATTTCACCTATTCCATCTTATCTACGCCTCTTTGCAAGAGTGAAAAAATACCTTTTCTCTTTAATAGGGCTATGGAGAATGTTCAGTTTGAAGGGAACACAGGCTGGGTACAATTCAATGATCAAGGTTACCGCACTAATGTGCAATATGACATCGGCTACTGGTATAAAGGTGAAAATGGGACCACGATTAAAGTTCTTTTAGCCGAATACCATAACAACAAACTGGCTGTATACCAAACAGGCTGGCCACCTGTAGAGAAAACGCTAGATGTTCTGGAATTAAAAATTGCAAAACACATTCCACTAAAGGTTTCGGTTTTCTTACAAGAGCCGTATGTTATAATGAACAAAAACCCTGCTCAGAACGACTCGGACGAAACTTGTGCGTTAGGCTGGCCTTGTGTGGGACTTGATGGGACATATTCATGCTGTACTGGCTATTGTATTGATCTGTTGAAATTACTTATGAGAGATGTTGGATTTTCAGTCAGAATTGAAGTAGTTAAGGATGGAAAATATGGTGGATTGAATCGTACAACTGGGCAATGGTCAGGACAGATAGGTGAGGTTGCCCGCGGTGAAGCAGATATCGCCATGTCAGATCTTACTATCAATGAACAACGTTCCAAGGTAGTCGACTTCACACATCCATATATGGAAGCAGGCATTGGTGTTTTAGTTAAGGCGGCTCGTCGTGATAAAAATAACTGGACTGGTTTCATGGATCCTTTTGATGGAAAATTATGGATTGCTCTTATTATATGTATCAACACTGCACTGCTTATTATGTGGCTACTAGAGAGGTATAGTCCTTATGGTCAGTCGGAACGTGGAAAGGTTTTGGAAAGGAGTAAAAAGTATTCTTTCAATTTTGCTCAAAGTGCTTTGTTCACATGGAGTCTGGTTCTTCCAAGTTTCGATGTTGGTTCTAAGCCAAAAAGTTTGGCTTGTCGTATTTTGGCCTTATCTTTTGCGTTTTGTATGTTGATTTTGATTACAAGCTATACAGCAAACTTAGCCGCTTTTCTTGTAGTAGAAGAGGAGATACTACCACTGAACGATCTTGGAATACGCGATCTTAAGGTATATAGATGAGTAGTAATATACAGGCCGTTCGACCCAGAATTTTCAGGGTAAGCAAGAGTGAATAAGGGTGCATGAGCTCATTAAATATTCAGGGTGGGCAAGGACACCGCATCATCATTAGCGTAAACTGAGTTGGCGCAGGGGTGCGTATGCATTATGAAATCGTATGCAGACGTCATAATGATAAACAGGATGAGTTTGGGCAAGTTTGTGCAAAACAGTCATTAACAACCATAGGTAACAACTAAGACTGTGCAGTCTATATCCAATTGAACACGTGATCATTGTCTATCCTATGCATATAGACAATCGTAAAATCTGGAACCTTTTCTATTTGCGGCAAACGTTCGAGTACGCCTGTGTCAATCTTCAGTTAGTACTCTCATGGCTTCTGTAAATTTATTCCAAATTAAACCATACGCTTAGCATTCATTCGTTTTATCGTTCCATGATTGATTTGACAACCACAACATAATTCTTCGAAATGTCTCTGAACTTCATGTGCCACTGCATTCGAGTATATTCCTTCCAACAAACTGATCTGATTATAAGAGGATGCGGGTTTTCCATGTTACACCGTGTTATTGTATTGCTTTGGCAAGTTAGAACAGCGAAATGATGTTCAAACAATTAATGTGGTAGAGTTTTGTCATGTACACAAATATTCTGTGAAAATATTTTTTTATTACAACTAGACTGTTTGTTAAATTGCTCTACACTTTTCTCTCTTTCTAATAAGCTTTCTAATAATCCTCCTCACGCTTCATGAATTGCTTACCCGTCATCTTAACAGTGTATATGAAAGTAGGTGATAAGCTAATTAAATAACATCTCGGCAGTCTCCAACGAGACAAATAGTTCAGCATCGTTCGTGGTTATCAGTGTCTTAGTGTAGTTTCATCAACAAATAGGCAAATGTAGAACAGTCTGGATCTTTTTCCATTTGCCGCAAATGCTCGAGTACATCTGTGTCAATCTTCAGTTTTATTGTGACTTCAGAAAAATTATTCCAAACCATAGCATTCATTCGTCTGATTGCTTGGAAACCGTACATTTGCTATTTCGCGTTTGTATTCGTTCAGCATGCATAAGGCAGTCGTGTTGCCGTTGACTAGGATAATTAATTTGACAAAGTATATGAACTCAGTGATATGAACTGCATTCGCATAATTATACTCCTACCAGCCAACTAAACTGATTGTAACAACATGTATATTTTCCATGTATAGACAATCCATCGTAATGCTTTGGCCCCTTGTAGCGCCCTGCGCCAACTCATTGATTATGCGTTAATAAGCTCACCCAGCTAGTATAGTGAGTCCAAACGGCCAACATATTACGACTCAGATGTTCGATAGATATTCTAGTTATGTGTGTGTGTCATTTTTGATGTTGGATGATTGTGCCCATTTTTCTGTAGAGTAATTAGCGACGTAGGAAACCGTTGGGGATATCTAGAATCAAAACAAATAAAACTGGCTATCTTGTATGTGTATCTAATATTCCATAGTAACTTTTTATTAAAACATCGACTGAACATATCTAGTGAATCAGTTCTGTTGAACGTGTTAGTTTATTAAAAGCATTGGTGGATGCAGAACGAAAAACGTTCATTTTTTTTATTTGACTATACCGACTGAATAAATCCGCTAGGTGGATCAAACCCCCTTTTGAGAAGAGGTCCTGCATTTCCTTTGATCCAGGATAAAACCAGCAAAATTTTGTTTAGAAAAGAAAGCAAAACAAAACTATATAATGTTACTTTACATGTTTGTAGTATCTGCAAATATTAACGTCGTTTGACTTAATATATTTTAGCTTCAAAATCCACCTAGTGGTTTTCGTGTCGGAACTATTCAAGACTCAAGTTATGAAAGATTTTTCCAAGCTACTAATGATCCCATGCTAAGCAGAATTTGGCAGCATATGAAACACAACAGTGTAAAAGATTTTTCTGAAGCAGTAAAACAACTTAATGCTGGGTAAGTGTTTCCCGGATAAATAGTGATCAATGATTGATTTTCATAATTTAATTGCATTTATCATTAGATATTCATATAGCATTTCGGCCAATGACATGGTGTAATTTACATCACGTGTATCGATCTGGATACCCCATCTAGACCAAGACTTTAATTACTTCAAGTGAGAAGGGCTTTGAACAACAGGGAAATTGAGGAGTAAACAAAAGATTATGCATTCCCAAATACTACGGATTCAGGTTCAGTGTTTAATAATGACGTCACATCATGTGAACGTTGAAAACAAAAAGAAAAACGCCGGCCGTGTTGTCAAGTGACAAATTACTTGTTGCTATGAGAGAATGTCTGTAAACAAACGGTTATTTAAAATGTGGCGCGCAAACGAATATGGTCGATTATTTATGCCCGGAAAACCTTTCAATTCGAAGACTAAGGTTGTTAACAATAGGAAATATTATTAGCAATGGATGTGATCCCGAAACAGGAGTTTTCCCTGGAATATTCGTAGAAGAAATAGACGTCCCCTTGGGATATCGCCAGCCACTGTATCGAAAATTTGGAAACGTTTATACTGCCAAGATAAAATAGTTTCTCCCAGTGGCGGAAATTCACTTTTTCCGGGGGGGTGGGGGTGGCAAAGCCTCCTAAATTTCTGACAAAACTTTCAAATTTCCGACATACCCCCCCCCCATTTGCACTCGAAAAGACTGTTTTTAGCCCACTTTTAGGTCAAAATTTCCGAAAATTCCGGACGCCTCCCCCCGCCCCCCCCCAAGATTTCCGCCACTGGTTTCTCCTAAGCCAAACGCGGATAACAATGGTCTTCTTGCCTGTGTTTAAAAATCTCATTATTTGAGATTTAAAATATTTCGATGATAAGTCAATTTCACGCCGGGTCAGCTCTTCCCAAAAATCGGCCATCTGATATAAACTTTTTCAATATATTTCGGATGGACATGAAACTTGCTACATCAATATAACTTTCCATTCCGAACAATCGTATGTTTTTTATTTTTGAGATTTAACGGTTTTTGGCGGGAAAATGACGTCACGAAACCTCCAGTTAAAATTTATTTTCAATATCTTAATAGTTTTTAAGCAGAATGTGGAAGATCATGTCATGAAGAGTTCAAAACTGAAAAGAGATTTTAAATATCTTAATCTAATCACGAGATACAGGGAGTTTAGAATCGAATTTTCCACCATTTTGTTACTATTTTTAGATTTTTCACGGTTTTTATAGTGAAATAACTTTGGATTAGGTTTAGATATTTAAAATCCGTTTTCAGTTTTGAACTGTTCATGACATGTTCTTCCAAATTCTGCGACAAAACTATTAAGATATTGAAAGTAAATTTTAACTGGAGGTTTCGTGACGTCATTTTCCCGCCAAAAACCGTTAAATCTCAAAAATAAAAAACATACGATTGTTCGGAATGGAAAGTTATGTTGATGTAGCAAGTTTCATGTCCATCCGATATATATTGAAAAAGTTTATATCAGATGGCCGATTTTTGGGAAGAGCTGACCCGGCGTGTTTCAGGCCGATCGATCTGGTTCTACGATAATCAAGCGCGTTGACTCTTCGCTTAATTGGTGCAGTTCTTCTACAGTACACGCGAGAAAAAATCATCATACGTTAAATATAGCAAGTCTTCGTTCCCTATAAATATAGGGTTTATTCGATTGTTACAATAATAATTGTATGCAACCTGAATTTCAGGAATATTATCCATATTTTTGCATTACAGTGTAAATTCTAAACATATATATTCAATTCAAAAATGTTACCGCACGGCTACGCCTCGCCATTGTTCATGGCACTTGGATTTAGAAACCACGTCTAAAACACCAACTCGGATTTGAAATATTACGTAAAACCCGGTATTGAAAAATTAGATATGAGTTAGCTATATTATCGCAGAAAAGTGCTGCTTTGAATTCGATGCAACGGTGAAATGACTGCATGGGACAAACTGGGCTGAATAAAATGAAAATTATTGGTTTCTCCAAGAATTAATGCTTGCGGATTCTCTAGCTTGATGAAACCTTGAATAAATAAACAAATACGTTTTATTTGTATTGCTATTTGCAAGAAATACCATTTAATTTCACATTCTACTTAAATAACAGGAAAAGTAACAAAAAATTTAATAACATAAAGTCAGAGCAAGAAATTGTCCAATGCGGCAATGCGGAGAACCACAAGGCTCCAACTTGGGACCTTTACTATTTTCGTTAAACATATAAATGACTTACCAAATACCAAGTTTCCTCAAGAATACAGAAACGTCCATGTTTGCTGACGAAACTAATCTATCATGCACAGAAACTCAAGTCCTCAACGCTAACAAATGGTTGGAAGCCAACAACATTGAACACTAAGAAAACCGAATGTATGCTAATATTCTCAAACAAAAAAAGAGCACATCTGCAACATGTTTTCATACCATGATAACACAAATCATCAAACGCGAAGCAACAGGCGTAAGCTACTTCTTGACAAACCCAATAGATCTTTTATGAAAAAATATTTTCGTACCGAGGAGCTTACGCGTGGAATATAATTATTACCCAACGAAATTTTAGATATTCATGACAATTGTTGACATATTCTTTTAAAGCAGTTTTTCTTGAACACCTATGTCGATCAAGTAACTATTAAAATTGCTTGTGATAATTTAAAAAATCATATGAAATGAGATATTCACCTCGCAAAACACGCGTTTAAGCGCGTCCCAAAATAAATAACAGGGAGTTTACGCATGTTAAGGTTCAGACACACAGGACGCAATTCGACAACGCGACGCGATTTTTTAGTTTTTGAACGGTCAATAAAATAACCAATGAGAGCAAATTTTGAAATATATGTAGACGGCCAAATAACTTAAAATATTATAGCGCTTCTAAATATTTGGAAAATTTAAACTAGGATCAAAGTTATCGGTCAGTGAAAATCGAAATTTCTGGACCTTAAAGAATCATTGTCAACTACAATGCATTGCGCGCTCGTGTTTGTTTATACATACGGGAACTGTGCAATTAAATATGATAATTATTCGCGTGATATGATAAGTAACTTCGCTGCTAGCCTGCCTGCTATTACAGTATTACTTGAAAGCCTTCGCAAATAAAGAGAAATGTCTGACTCCGATTCAGATTTAAATGTTTCACGTTATGATCCGGAAGATAATTTAAATATGTACGGTTCGCCAGTTTATACGGAACAGCCTGAGAATAACGATATTATTGACGAGGAACAACCTGGGCCGTCGAATGTTGTCCTTGACCGACCAAATAGACGAAGTCAAGTAAGTTGAATATTTGTATTCTTTGGATGCGCTAAAACCTACATTCATGAAATTCTGATAGGTTTTTTGTCAAATGCATTAAATATTCTAATCTGAATTGTTGTTTTACGTTACAGTTCTGTAGCTGCAAGAACACTTGCAGTAAAGGCAGCGGCAGAAAGAAACGTGGTTGTCCTTGCCGTGACGATGGGTTGCGTTGTGCCGACATGTGCAAGTGTGGCACTAAAAAGGCGAGCTGCAAAAATAAGGATTGTGCAAGCGGCGAAGCTGATCCCCAGAATGCCAACGCTGGCCGAAATGCCTTTGAACGCCACCAGATCGCCGTGGAAAAAGCAAAACAACAAATTACGGTGAGCGACTGAGGCTTGTACATACACGATACAATATTGTAGTATGATTCTCAAACTGTATACTTGGGCCACATGCCCCCAAAGTTACCTACATGTGATAAAATTTTTGTATTGTCACTGTTTACGTGCATAACAAAGTACATATATTGTAATAGAAATTCATTGGCACACTGGATGAAGGACAAAAGGACAGAGTTCTCCTAGAACTACTTTCAAATGGAAAAGGGAGCTTGGATTATGCAAAGAATATTGTGGAATTTGGTGGTGCTGTTCCTTCTCTACCTCCTACTAAGCCATCCTGGTGCACTTGTGGTGTTTGCCGGCCAATGCCCACTGAGGAGGAAAATAAATGCTGTGGTAAAATCAGGTGTGTCACATCATTTGTAACATTTCAGAACACTTGTACCGACAGAGATGTTCTTGTTCAGAGGGCGGTGTGACATCAGAGCCGAAGAACCCGAGTATTCTACTAACAGTTTCAGAAAGGCTGCTTATCGCCAATACATCTTGTGGAGATACAAGAAATTAGGAAGGGGAAATAGAAGGGTGTGTCCTTCTTGTGTGGTACTTGCAATAAGGCAATTGTACCCTGCACAGGATGGAATATACATGGGATTTAAAAGAGCATGAGCAATTAGTTGCACAGTTACAGGTGTCACTAAATATTTTGTTGTGAGATACAAAGTGGTAAATCCAATTCACCTACATTTTAATTAGTCCCTTATATTTTCTTTCTAGAAGATAATTAACCCTTTAGCCCATTGAGTGGCAGCACTCTCCACTTGACGAATAAAATCATCTGGCACTAGACAGAGTAAAATACTGAAGTAGGGCGCATCTGGGTGCATTGCCACTTAAAGCCTGGTTCACATATGCCTGCGACTGTATCATTATGCCTCTACTTGCCGCAGAAATACCGGCAAAGTTGAACTCAAGTCAACTTTCCCGGCCTACCGCTGATGTAACTGTGGCACTGGAGGTAATCGGCGAACAAATATTCACAGAATTTACGTTTTAAGCTACCACCGGCATCGTCGCAGGCATATATGTGAACCAGGCTTAAAAGGTTAATGCACAATGTGCCCTAATTTAGTATTTACTCTGTCTAATGCCAGACAATTTTACTCGTCAACGGATGAGCCTTGGACATTAAATCTTTATTACAATTGTGTATATTATATGTGCACCAACATTTTAGGAACATATGACCACAGCATTATTGTATGTTTGTGAAAATTTTAATATAGTCCTTGAATAACCCCTCAGACATTTCATATTTACAATTACATTATGTACACCAGTTTAATTATTAAACAATGATTAATTCATGACCAAGAGATATACAACAAAACACATTTCAACTTTGTCACTAAGGCCAATCTGAAAGTTAATATTGTTTATCACCAACCATTTTCAAAATAACAGTGTGGGATTTTTTCATTATTCATTCTTTTTTACCAATCAAATTGTGCTTGATAATTCATTGCAGGCCAGTAGTAACTCTGGCAAAATTGAGACAAATTGATAAAACAATTTGAGTTGAGATTGCTATATACGATGCTACAAAACTTTAATCAGGCAACCAATCAGAGGTTTATTGCATTTTTTTAAATAAATAGCAAAATTTTCAAGCTAAATTCCATGCAGGAGACAACAATATCAAATACGATATCGAATTTCATTTGCTCTAAATTCCTCACAGCTCAAATTTTAGTTCTTACACAAATGTACTTTACTGCACATCCCTCTGTCAATATGTACAGTATACAATTATTACCTGTATAATATGAGATAAATCACTATATTAAATATTACAGTATGATTTATTATAAGGTTTGTTGTCATCTTCATAGCATGTCATTCAGTAGAAGAAACCGTAGAAAATCTGGAAAGTGATCTTTGTACCAGATCACTGGTTTTTGGTACAGGTTTCATTGCAATTGATGGTGCAATGGTTTTGGGGTGATCACTTGACATCTCATTTTTTCTTAAAACTGTTTTTTCATCATCTACCCTCTTTTTCATGATTCTGGACACAAGAGTGGGCCAAAAGTCATAAGATTTCTCCTCTTTAACAACTTGGACTCTCCAATTTTTTGACCTCTTACTGTAAACCTTGTGGTGTTTTAGGCTGCCACTCAAACTTAGGGAGGGATTCCTGTCCAAATTGTTGTTGTGATCGATCACAGCCACTAGGGTCCTTGCCAAATAAGCTTCATTCCTATGAAGGATAGCAAATATATAAGAGTATTGGAATATACAGTAGAATGAAAGATGACATGAGTACATGCATCCATTGTATTTTGCCAGGCAAGTTTACTTGGAATGGATAATCCATTGAGTGCCAGCACCTCCCCTTTTTTCTCCATTTGGCATTAGACAGAGTAAATAATCTGACATTCAATACATAGTAAAATTATAAAGTGGGGTATTTCAGGGTACAAAATGGCAATTAAATAGGTTAACCCATTGAGTCGCATTGCACCCCGATGCACCCTACTTTAGTATTGTACTCTGTCCAACGCCAGACGATTTTACTCATCAAGGGGAGAGTGCTGGCGCTTAATGCGTTAACTGGCGTATCGGCCCATGTGTCTACCCATTGAGTCGCATTGCATCCTGATGCACCCTACTTTAGTATTTTACTCTGTCTAACGAGAGACGAGTTTACTCGTCAAGGGGAGAGCGCTGGCGCTTAATGGGTTAAGTTAAATAACTTTTTCTTTAGATGCTTCAAAAAACATAAAATAAAGTGCTCATACTCACTGAAAACTAACTCTTTTTGGTGCATACTTCAATAACATAGAATTGAAGTTTTCCAGTTTGCTGGTGTGCCTAAAACATAAATAGTTTTAGCTTATATATCGCAGGTACAATACAATGGGGGTGGGGCACCAGTTGGTACAATAGGCATGTTTCTATTGTAATATATAGTACTATTGCTCCTGAGCACAGCAATGAAACAATCATTTACCTGAATGTCACATACTGATCCAATGTCTTCAGAAACCTGGGATCAGTAACAATCTTCCTTATTGCGTCAAGGGCTTTTGAGTTTTTGTTCAGAATGGGCTTTTCCTTTTCCGTTTCTACCAATGGGCCATGGTTACACTCGCCATCTGCCCATTCATGCTCTCCAGCCACATGGTGTAATACTCCAAACCAATTGTCCTAAAGCAAATGTCAGAACATTAATCCAGAACACGGTACTGGAAAAATTCAACTAAACAGTATTTTTTTGGCAGAGAGACTTCAATATACTTCACCATCAATCAAAAAATTTTCCTACAAAATATATATTGCAATATTTGCTGATGTTATTGACCACCTATGTCAAATGTATCTCTAATCAACAAACATGTTTACAGAAG